ACTAGAATGCCGAAGACCTTTTTTCAGCACTGTCCATGCTGAATGAGTAAAAGCTGTGTATGCAGATCAAACTACCCATTTCCAGCTATCCAGTTGTGTGTGCAAATGGAAATTCAGCAGGCATAAGTTTAGTTGTCCCCTTTAAATTGGACTTGCCAGAGGTGAGTTTATCAGTGTTCCAGATATAGCTTATAATTGCTGCTTCACATTATAAGCAAAGTCATTAACTGAAATGTATCTACATTTACTGAAAAGAATTTCATTCATTGAAGACATTGGGGCATATTTAATGCCTTTTTGCTTTGTGTAAAGACAACAATAAATCTTTCACATTTGCTAATATTTAAATCAAACTTCAAAGTTGCCCAAATGCCTACTTTGACAGGGGAGCAGGCTTTATGCATTCAACTAAAGATCCGTTTTTTTGCATAAGCACTTTTATTGCAGATTTATTTTTTGTAAAAACTTGTATAAAGACACTGTCTTCAGGAAAAAACATTGGAATTTTAGGGTTGTTTGAAACAAATGTATAAGGATATATGTCACAACTATGCTGCTGCACATGCAGTTGGATAAAAAGGACTTGAAATACTGGTGGACCAAAATGAAACTCATATTTCAGTAGACATGGTTGCATGTACTACTACAGAAGGACACTCATAATCCTGGACCTCTTTTCAGGTGAGGCTGGTGATATGAAGATACTTCATAGAGCAAATCATAATAGAAGACTTGTAACAGTGCATGGAGTTACATACTTTGCAGGGTTGCTTTTGGGGCAGCACAAGGCTACACAGCAAGGTGTAATTTAACCTTATGCATGTGTACCAGGATTTGCATAATTGCATTCTACTGCAGTTAGATCCAATGGTAAACAAGAATTGCAGTGAGGGAGGAGGTTCATGCGGTCGTTTTGCTACCTTGTCCTGCAAGGTATCAGATAATATATCAGATAAAATATCAGATGGATAATACTTGCAGAGTTACTATCTTTTTTCATACTTCATCATGTTCGGGTAAAAAGTCCAAGAAATTTAAACTTAAGGTAACAAATGTTGGCATTAAAAATTCAGTGTTTACCTCTCAGTAATTGTGAATAAATTTGGTTTTGTTTTTGTTTTAGTTGTTTGGTTGGGATTTTTTTGTTCTCAGAATAAAGTCTAATTTTGAACTGCTAGAGAATTAAACAGTTGTTCAGAGCATTTGAATTCACTAAATTCTATTTTGGAAGCACTTATTGGAATCACTAGTTTTTATAAAATCAGTAACTAAATCCAAAATAGGTTCTAAAAATTAGTCTAGTCATTACCAAGAAAGATCTGTTACAACTGGTTATCTTTATGCCCACACTACGAACTTTGAAAGACTACTTTTCAGACAGATACTGTTATATGAGTTTTCAGACAGTAGACACAATAATTCAAGGCTTTCTGCCTCCATTTGGAAGTAAGTTTGGATAAAAACAAAGTTTGCTTTTAAAGTGCAAAAGCTCTTCCTGCATAAATGCATGTATGGACAGTTCTAATTCAGAAATCAAAATGTCTTCTTGTTTCACTTAATCTACTTTGAAAATAGAAGTGTTTAGCTTAATCCTTCATTGAACTGGAACAGGTCCACTTATTCCAGTCCACCTGTGAGTTATGCTGGAAAGGGAGTAGCTTTTCTGAATAACTACTGTTCATTTCAGAAATATTTTTCCAACTAGTTAGGTCTGAGCCTGATCTCTGTTGACACATGTTGCAGCCTTCCAAATCTCAGGTCTGAATTTTGCAACTATCTCTTCAAATATCAGACTCCATTTTAGTGCTCAGAAGACTTGACTCCTGAACTGAACCTAAACTGTATTGCCTGCTTCTGACAGAAATGTAACTTAGATTTTGTGGCTTTTACCAACTTCAAACTACAATTAATTCTTTCTTGTCTGTAGATATGGTAGTAGCAGTATTTTTAACAGTAAAAATGGCAGTGATGATGGTCATTAGTTGAACAAATTAAATCATGGATTGTTTTGGTACAGAGGAAATCAAAGCATGTGAACAAATTCTATCAATCTCAGTTAAATGGTGCCATGATTTAGGAATAATTCTCTGAACCAGGACTTAAGGCTGTCAGCTCTAAGAAGCAAGTCTTGTTATCTCTGCATGTCTGAACTGTGCTTAACCAACTAGAACTGTTATATGGTTGGGAACTTGAGAGACAATTGCAAAATATTATATAAGCATCTTTTTGGCACTTTGGGAGATTCTGAGAGTTAGAAATAAAATCCTTGCACTTAGTCTCTTGAGAGGCTGGAGTACTTATTTTTTATTTTTTTTATTTTTAAATGAGAATTCAAGCTCCTCATGCAGTTGGTAGAAGGCTGATGTGCATACGTGGGTTACTCTGAAGGTCAAATACTCTTTATACTGGACATTTCAAGCTGCTGTCCTAACTTCCAAATCATTAGCTTAGCAAATGGGAGCTTAAATATAAGCCTAGTCAATGGGAAGGAAAGAAAGTCTGCTGCATAGTATGTCTAGCAATAGAAAAAGCTACAGAATGTGAACATAAATTTTTAATTCAACATTCCTTAATTTAAAAAACCCCACACCACCACCACCTATCCCCTCCCCCTGACAAGCTTGCAAAAACTAGGTCTGAATTCCCAGTGGGAATAATGAGCAACAGCAAGAATGAATGCTGGGAGAGAAGAATGCAATTGTATTAGGCTCCATCACAATGGGAGGTAAACCCAAATCATTTATAAAACGTAAATGCTGGCAGAACACAGGGAGCTCAGAGCACCACACTGCAGGTGTGATTTATGAGGCTGGGGACTGGCTATAAATCAAACCCTTTTGTTTTAAATAGTACTGCTTCAACGCAGGAGATCAGTTTACATGTAGAGGAAATGATGAAAAAAATGCAGTACATTGCATCCCAAGAATATTAGAGAATCAGCTTTACAATGCGACTATCAGTACCACATTCAGACAATGGCTATCTGATGTGCGATTGAACGAATGCTCCCACTGTTTGAACAGAGCGCCCTAATCTAGCAACTCAGGTTTGTTTCAAATGTATTAATCAAGTAATCTATTTTGTGAGACCAGCTGTTAAAATTATTGCACTTAGGATCAGGAATGCATTGGCTATTCCTGTTAACTAGCCAGAGTATCCTTTTGTGCCACCAAAGGCTCTGCTTGTTTCTATGTTATCTGTATTTTCCCTTAATTATAAAGGTTTATGGGTCTGATTATTTAGTGGCCTTGTCCTGTGAAAATGGGTGGATAAAACAATTAATTCCTAAGGATTCAAATAGAGGCTAGGTATCCTGGGAAGTTCTGCTCGATTACAGGAAAATACACGTCTGGCAAAGAAAAATGCTTTTCTCCCTCTATTGGTTGTATAATTATCAAATGGATGAGATTTTAAAGGTAACAAGCAAAATTATTTCTTCTGCTCTGCTTCCCAGATCTGCCAGGGCTTATCTTGGCTGCATATTTTGCATTCATTTTGCATGCATTCCACTAGAGCAAACTATATGCCTGAAACCCCACTGTGTGTCCTGCAACGTGGGCCAGAGAAGCACTTAAAGAAGCTGAAAGGACAAAAGGCCTACATAAAGGAAAGTACAGTAATATCAGCGTTGAAAGACATTTATAATGGAACAAAAGCTGAGTGCCTTGCACTTGCATGTGTTCTAGTCATTTGATGTAATGGTATTACATCAGTAATGGTTTAGCCATGTGAATATAAGAAATTGCCTTTAATTCACTGATAAGCAGAGTGCCTTTAAGTCATCAAGGAGCCAAGAGACATCTTGTATTGCAGTGCTTTATTACTTTCCAAGAGTCCAAAATGCAAACACTATAGAAACATACAAGCTACATTTCCAGGGTCTTTCTGAGGCTCTGATATTGATATAGCCAGCATCAGCTGTTGCTGGAGGCATTAATATCAATTGCTAGTGTAAGGAGAGTATCATTTAACTGAAATAATTGATTTTTTTTTCTTATTTATTATAAAAGTGCATCCAGTGCCATGAATTTATGGGCAGTCTATGAATGTAAAAACATATTCCCTGCTCAGGAGAGCTTGCAGTCTAAATTAGACCAATATATGAAGAAGATTGGTGGTGAACAGAGACAAGAAAGCAGTGTCTGAAATTGCTTTTACCAATTTCTTGAATCTGACCAGGCTTCCGGCTGATAATGGGCCAGACATTTAGAAGAATTTGGGCTTCTGTTTTCCAAAGATTAGGGCTTAAATGTCTTTAAAAATGCTGTTGTTTTACACAGAAAACCTAATGAACCACAAAAGGCACATAATGCGGGAGAGGAGTGAAGGTGGCTTTATGTTTTATGAATCTTAAGTTGTCTTGGACACTAAAGTCAATTTAGGTAGATAGCCTTGAAAGGGTCTGGCCAAGTATTGTGGTCCTTTCTGGTTGCAGTGACATCTGTAATCTTTATAACATTTGTGTTTTAACTGGATTCCTGAAACCTCTTTCCATCTTAGGGATTTTTTGGTAGGCAAACACTCTGTCTCCTTTCTTTGTCTGTTGTGTCCTGTGAGAGAAATACTTCTGTGGGCCAGTAGTAGTGTTTTAAAACCCATTTTTGCAAACTCTTCTACCTTTTACACAAATAAAGATGTCACTCAAGGGACCTTGTTGCAACAGTTGAGAAAAAATATAATTAGAGGTCACTCAAGGGACCTTGTTGCAACAGTTGAGAAAAAATATAATTAAAGCTGATTTAAACATTGAATTTCTTTGCCATCATAAAGGTTAAATAGACGGAAAAGCAAAAGAACATTTATATAGCAGAAACAATAATGAAGGGTTTACTTTTGCAGCCTCCATGAACAGTGGAGGTTGTGGCTTTTCCTATGTACAGTCATCAGGAATAACTGGTAATTACCGAGTTCAAAGTCTATTGTCTCCTCCAAAAGCTGACTTGTTTTTCTGGGGCTGTTTCAGAATGACGTGACGTCTGATGGCTTTATTTCTTTTATAGGTCTTCTTGATACACAATGAATCCTGATCTGGGATGGAAAGTAATTTTTGTGAACATATTTACAGAACTATGTGTAATAGATCTAGCGAAGACTGAAGGCTTGTAATAGCGACTGATGTAGTACCATGGAGAAAAGAAACCTGAACACTGCTCTCTGAGGAGGCCAAGTGAGGAGTGAGGTAATAACAGGTTTCATTGCCCAGTTGGGGTTGACAGAAGGAGAGGTGATTTTGCCCCTCAAATTGTGCTCAGAGGATGGGAGGAAGTGTGTATTTTACATATATGCTGTAGGTGATGGGACAGACTTGTTCAGTGATCTAGGAGGCATTGTGTTACATACAAAGGTCTCCTGCAAAGCTGATGAATTTTTTTTCCTATTGCAGGGCTGAAATGCTGAATGCCTCCCTGCAAACCTTGAATCCAGCCTTGCCATGTAGAATCAATGTAGATTGCTCAATGTAGAATATTAAGCCAATGAGTGTTGCACTGAGGTAAAATTACAGGAGAATTTTTTGGATTCAGTAGATGACAAAAGGAATGTCCTGAATTTATTCTAATGACATGGTTTTACTTTCAGGTAGATGTTGGCATTTCAAACTGCTTCAATGGCTGCAAGCATGAAAAATTCCATGGTAGCTTACTCACTCTAGCATGCTGTCTGTGGGCAGGGTTTATAGAGGGCGATTCATGAACTTTGCTTCTTAAACCATAACCTTCCACATAAGGAAGCTCAAATAGGTCATGTGCTGAGAGGAGCCAGGAAACACCCATAAGTGTGTGATGCAAATCTTACAGCCTGTCTACTAGCTGTGAGTGGCCAACAGATGTGCATCCTCGTTTGTCAGATGTGTTTATACATCTTCTGAGATGTCACAGCTATTAACTGTATATCAGAGCTTAGAATCTGACCCTAAAAAGTAGATGTTTTCTAAGATGGTATTCAGCTTCCTTGTGATGAAAATTAGCTTTCCAACTTAAGCAGCATTTGTGACTTGCTTCAGAAGAGCACTGAAGATGTGTTTATTGCAATCCCCATTCAGCAAACTTTTAAGTACATGCTCCTGTAACAGAAATGAAAATTAAATATGGGTTTAGACGCTTTTGCAAAACTGTGTTTCAACTTTTGGCCTCTGGATGGGAAAATTAGTCACGAATGTTTGGTTCATAGTATAAGGTTTCTCCTTTTTTACTCAGGAAGGGACTGATACAGGAGGTGTCATTGGAAACCATGACTAGTGGTGAACAGTTAGCAGGAGATTTTAGAATGCATTCTGAAACAACAGCTAAACATGTGAGTAGGTATAAATAAGCAGAAGTAGTGTTTTTGACATTTGGATATTAAAAAAAGGAAAAATTTTTGGAAGACTGATATTTCAATTTTAAAATTAAGTGAAAAAATTGTAATTCAAAAAAAGATTGCAGCCATCTGTAACCCTCACGGTTCATGTGTCTGCAGACAGACATTCCCTTTCTAAGTCATTTTTCCAAGATGATGGATTTTAAAATGTAAAATAAATGAATAAATAAGCATACATATTTTGATATGCTCTACCATTCCTCTAATATTGTCCTGTAGGATGCAGTAAAGACAAGATGAATAAAGGGACAATGAATAAAGACATTTGGAGTAAAGGGATGATGAATATCAGACCTAAAGACTTTTTTTTTTATTTCTTGTCAGGAATATAGATGTAAGAATAAGCACTTTGGAGAATGCCCTGTTACTAGACCCTAATGGTGACAGAAATGCCATCTTCAGCTGTGCTGCTAGTGGAGTTCTGCAAAGTCCACTCCACAAAGATGGCTGTAGTCCAAATATGGGACCTCTTTTGCTTCAACATGCCACTGGCAGCAGCAATATCTTGCTTCCTCCCTTGCCATCTGCAGGCCAGAAACATCACTATCTTTCAGCTATGGCAAACTGAAGAACCCAATCATCCTTTTCTGCTCTCAGAAACGTGCACCGTGAGGAATGTCCCAGAAATGGTAACTTCCTGGTGTTATTTAAACACTGTATCTTAAGGTCTGTGGATGGCTCCCGAATATTTAAGTATTTGAGTGCTTTTTTTAACATTGATATGAAAGACATTCTCTTACAAAGAAGTTCACTAGTTGAACAGCCCTCTTTCACAGCAGTGTAGGAACTGGTGCTCCAGACAACAGCGCTTTTCTGGTCTGGTGCCTACCTTCAGCTTTACCAGTGGGCAGCACTGTATGGCAAGGAGAAGCTTCTTTAGAAGCTCTGATTAGGCACTAATGCAGATGATAATTTCCGCCTTTACTGTACCTTTAATAAATTATCAAAGTGTAGTGGTATATAAGGTTTGAGCAGGCTGTCTGGTGGGGGATGTGAGAGCGATGGAGGATCCTGCTGCACAGCCCACCTTAAACTACTGGAGGTAGAGTTTTAAAGCAGGAGTCTGGATTTGTTTGCAATTCTGTATGCATGGTTTTAGTTTAGTAAGTGTCAAGAGTATAAAATAGAATATAAAACTATTGCTTCAAAGGGAAATGTTTAAAAAAATTTAAAACCACCTGTCCAAATTACTGTGTATGTCATTGATTTTAATTTTCAATTAGACTCTGAGCTAGATAATATCCTACACACATGACTTCTGCTGGTCACCTGCAAATTATGGGGCAGAGCATGTTATGCTGTTTCTAAATGATTTATTTAATGTCCTGATGAAGTTTCATTTCTGTCTATTTAGTTCTAACCCAGGTAAGAATTTATTTTTTAAACCTCATAAATTAGAGAAATTTCCTGTTAATTCATCTGGTATATCCATTGCTGGCAATGTTAGGGTGTTTTTCCTTATGAGTTGCATAGTTGGTGATTGATCTAGATAGGTCTAAGTGGTGAAAGAAGCAGAAACCCCTCTAACTTCCAAAACCTGCTCCACAACTTTGTATGCTGTGTATATTCTAGTCACAGTCTCTATCTGTGCAAAATTTGGAATAAATGGATTGAAGTCAACAAAGCTGTTTTAGTTTAACATAATGTAATAATAGACTCTGTCCTCGAACTCCATCTATCATTCCAGCACTCGTTAGGCATTCTGGTTTTGCTCATAGTAGAAGCCATCATAAAGAAATTGATTTCCCTCTGTTCACTCATCCAATTTATTGCAAGAGAACTCCATGTTCATTTGCCCATTACACAGCATTTTGTAGGGTGAGAAAGAAACAAGCCAAAAGAAATCAGAAGAAGTAGTTATCATGTTGGCTGAGGTTCTGCTCTCATTTATATTTGGTATAAATGCAGAACAGCTCCACTTCTCCTAGAGGAGTTTATTTGCATTTTGTTGGGTGAGGTGAACTCCAGATTATACTGTGAACCCCAAAACTCCCCTTCTCTACCCTTATTTGCTGTACTGAGTTACAAAAGAGACTTGTCATGATCTTGTAGCCTATGTGTTATGATTTTTAGTACCTCTGCTGTTTCTCCCCCTCCTTTATTGCTAGTTGCATTCCCCGAGTTGGGCAGCCAAATAATGTGTCCTCCATGGCTGTTAAAATGGCACTATAAATAGGCTAGGAAGTAGTATTATTGAGGCAAAGCAACCAGCACAGTCCTCTTTCCTCTCCTCAGTGATAAAAGTTCTTCATGACCACAATGCACCTGGTGTCTGTTATTGGTAGAGCATAGGCATGGTGTTGTTTCTGCATCATTGTCTCTCACAGGGTTGCACAAACCATGGTGCATTTCAGTAAGGATGGCACCATTAGTGTGCTGAATGCTGTACAGTGGCAATGACAGAAAACAAGAGCCCTCTTCTCCCACATTGCTTCACGCTGTGAACAAAACGGTGTTCTTGGTGAAGCCAAATCGAAAACTTTCTGTGCAGTTGGCTCAGTTAGAAATTTGCAGTGAGGAATGTGTTAGCTGGTAAATCTGTAAGCTGTGAATTGCATAGAGACTTGACATGACAGTATATGAAGTGATCCAGTAGTAGTTTTGCTTTCCTTTTATGCCACTCATTTCTTGTTTAGCTGCATCACATGAAATCTTCCCACCCTCATCTTCAAGGCGTTACAGATGTTGCCTTCACTGCCATGTCGCCTTCCTGTACTAGTTTACCAGCTTCATATCTGTCCCCTGCCTACAACTTTGTGCTTTCTTTCATTTATTTTCTATCCCTGGAACATTTTTTCCTCAGAAAACCGACCTGCTTCTGTATGTTGGCAGTTCTTTGCCCACCTCCACCCCTTTCTTGCCTTCTCCATAGCTTGATTTGGTATGTTGTGGATGCTATATATTTATACATGTTGGGTGGGCTAAGATCAGTACTATTCTTGGGGTGTTGTGTTTCTGAAGGCTGTGTATATCTCAGAATATATTTTGTTTTCAATTGTGTGAGGACAATGGCTGAGACCATCACTTCATGGCAGGAGCTGTGGCTGAAGTAATTACAGCAGTTCACTGCAGCTAAACATGTAGATATTATAGATGAAGTGTTTATGCATTTGTGTGGTTCTGGGAGAAAACAAAAAATTCTGTTTGGAAATTGTGAAGTAGTGGTTTTGATTAAATTAATATTGCAGAGACTTTCTCTTTGGACCAATGGTTTGTTGGTAGCTTAGAATGAATCAAGCAAGAACTTTATACAAACACCACACTGTTATTTAAATGTGTCACAGCATTGGTAGGGCACCCCTGAATTGGTGCTAAACTCAGCTTTCAAGTTTGTGGTGAACTTTGGGACTTGACTTTTCAACCACTTTGACTGGATGGTTGAAACTTGGTCTCTTCTTTTGGCTTCTCTGGCAGTTTTCCAATAAACAGCCTGTCAGCCTGTTCTGCTTTCACAGCTGTATTAGCCCCTTTGGCCTCCCCACCAAGCTGCTGACTAAAGTCAACTCATCTTTGCTGAGAATGTTGGTCCTACTGGAAAGTGAGTTTGCAATTTATTCTTTGGGCATGTGACATCTGATAGCAAGCACGCAAACAGTCTTTGCACTCTAGTCACTTTTATACTGAAATAGCACAAGAAATAACACATACATAAATGTATGTGTATATATATGTATGTTTATGAACACAAAAATGTCTATTTATGTACAAAAATTTGTATGTGTATGTTTCTAATGAGAAGAAGTAATATATATGCTCATTGCCTTTTCTTTCTTCTGTCTCTATTGCTCCCAGGAGTTGTCTGTGTCAGAGCCTTCCAGGCTGTCCCCCTGAGTCCTCATG